TGCTGAATGGGAGAAGAGCTGATACCTCTTTGCTTAGGTGCCATGGCCTACACAGGTGTCTGGGCCCAAGGCCCAGATGGCTGAGCAGAAGCCAGGCCATGGCAGAGGGTTTTCCATGGACTGAATAAATAAATACAAGGGCTTGAAGATGGATCAAAGGGACTGTGTTTTGGAGGGAAAGCTCACTTAAAAGTTCAAGAAGGGCAGAGAAAGCAAATGGCTCATTATGGGAATGTGTCACAGGGGTAATGGGAGATGGATGGAGCTTTGCTCCATGAGCAAGGACCCATCTCTTGGCATTTGGCTTCTCCTGTGTTCAAATAAATGAGATTTTTTCAAAAAGCCCACAGTTTTGGCCAAGTGCTTCAGGTAAAAGAGACAGTAGCATTTCAAAGCAAAGACATAGGGTGTGTTTTCAGCCCTCCATACAATGCACAAACTGAGGAAAGCAGAAAGCCGGAGAAGTGGATTCAAGGAATAATTTATAAAAAGGGCCTGGCTCATCACTGCTTTTCTTTGCTTTAATGAGAGCAAAACTGAGAGATAATTTCATAGTTTAGGGGATGCTGGAATGCTAATGTCCATCTGCTGGCATATGGAGCTTGTCACTCTGCGCTCCCGCCTGGCACTCGGGATTGCCCCGGGACAAAGCTCACCCTGATGTGATTCCTGTGCTTCGCTGGAGTTCACAAAGAATTAACCCACATGGCCCAAAGGCAGACTGAGCCTTAGCTACAGAACACATGTTCAAAACAACACGATTTGCTAAGACCTAGGCCTGTACAGCACTAATCACAATGTCTCTCCTTTTGGCCTGTGATTAGGACCTAACCCCACGGGACAGAGGAGGAATGCTCCATCTGTGCTTATTTCCTTTCTTTTATGTCTGGAAATGGGCCACCCCTTTCAGATGCTGCTGTTGTTACTCTTGCTTCCAGTTATCAGTCCCTGGCCCCAGCACCTGCAGTCAGATTTAAGTTGCTGTTTTACCACCCAACTTGTTCAGCAGCAGTTCTTATCACCATCACAAATAATCTGGTGCAATCTGGTTCAGTTCAATTGCTGACAATCTGCGAGGAGACACAAGGAAGAAAACTGAATTGTGGTGCCACCCAGACCAGACTGCCCACAGCTGAACCACACTGTGTAGGCCATGGCAGTGCAGCTCAGCTGTGGTGGGACTGACACTCCAGCCATGTTCACCAAGGCACTTCAGCTGGACATGGACCAGGAATGAAGGAAAGCCACAGCCTGGCCATGGGGTTTGAGGAGAGCCTCCATCAGACGACCCAGTCTAAGGTAAACCTCAGTTTGTCATCACTGCGTGTCCCAGTATGAAACTTCTCATGTGACTGTGGCTTCTCCTTCCAAAGGAAAAAGTATCTGGTTAGGCAGAAAACATAACTACTGAATCCTCAGAGGCACAGATAATGTTTCCAATTCTCCCTGGAAAATCTTAGGGCTCAGAAACCTAATTAATGATACGTACTGGGGACATGATTAATTACCAAATAAGAAAGTTTAAGGAAAGAAATTCAGATGAATATTTCATTTCTAGTTTAGCATAAAACTTAAAATAAGGACAACATCTTATATTTTCTTTAACTTTGTTCTACAAAGAAACTCACTGGAGTAGGGTAGGGCTGCCAGTTAATTGGTGCTGGGTGGTGAGACCAACAGGAAGATTCAGCACAAATCCAGTCCCATGTAGCCTATGCTCCATGGCCCAGACAGGGCAGAAATGCTACATGCAAGTGCTCAAATTGCCTCATAAAAGACAGCAGATGCTCTGTTGCCCATCCTCCATCATCTCAGCCTGGAGCAATGTAAATCTGGAATTTTGCATGAGCCATCTTTTCAAATATGGAATCCATATAATATAGAGACAGATATAAAAATGATCTGTTTCCTGGGAACCTTCAGTGCTTCCAGTGACTCTGAACTCCCCACTGCAGTGAGAAAGGGATTGTTATTTTTTTTTTTTTTCTGCTTTGACTTCCTCAAGTTTCTTCATTTTTAAGGACTTAGGCAAGAGTAAGAGTTTGAGATTTACAACATGGTTTTACAGTCTGGTGTTTACTACAGGTTGGAGCATTTCCAGCAGCACAGACCTGCTGATGAGGTTCATTCATTACTGCCAGGGCCATTCAGCAGCCACTTTCTGGCAAGGTGTGCTCTGCCCAGGGCTGCTCACAGCCTGTGCAGCGTAGCTGGTGTCACCTCCATCCATGACCATAATTACCTGCTAAGGTAAAGCCTGATAGGCATTAATCCAGTGATAGTAAAACCATGGATTGATATTTAATGTTCACTTTGTAGGGTAATTTGACCAAAGTGTCCCTACTAACATTCAATCCTCCTTGGGCAATACTTGGCTTTCCCTCGTGAATGTTGCTAGGACCTTTGGGCTGATGGAAGGAAACAAGCTCAAAGCCATGGAGCACACAGCAAAAAATCTTTCCTGTCCATCTTGCTTTCCTTCTCATGTTTTATAATACAAAGGATGGTTACTAATTTAGTGCAACACTGTGAGGTTTAGCTATTTGTTACTTGGGAATTATGTTTAAGATATGCAAAAATTACCATGAGACACTTAAATTCTCCCTTTGATGCTGAGGAAGGATCTGGATTTTGTGCAATTTGAAGGAGAAAAATGTTCTGCAATGTGAGGCTTTTACTCTATTCCCATAAAATCACTCACCCATTCCCACCTTGCTTAGCTTTTAAACTCTGTCTAGCCCAAGCATTTGCCACACAGAATTCTTGGCAGAGTAAGAGACAGATTTTCATGAGGGACTGAACGCTGCTGAAAAGCAATGATGGCAAAAAAACATAGGATTGTGACTTACTTAACTTTTAAAATCCAATCCTGACACGAAATCATCTGAATGTGGGGTCATCCAGTGTTCAACTCTTTTTGATGCATTTAGCATGCTTAATGTCAACTTATTTAATGTAAAAGTACCTTTGTACTTCATGATTTGGCCAGCACTTGGTTCTATCACTTCGTTGTTGATGGTGACTCCTGGATATCTGGCTTGTACTTTTGAGAGGATCTGCAGGTCCATCTCACCTAGGGAACAACAACAGTAAGTAGAAGATGAAAACAAATCTCAGGCAAATGTCATCTTGACCATCACCACATCCCCTGTTTTGAGGTCTGGTGCCTGTCACCCATGTACACAAAATGTACCACACAGGTACTTCGCATTCTCAGCTCATTGTCAGGAGGGTTTAGCTCTAGGATTTGAGAAAAATCTAAATATCACTCCCAACTGTCTTCATTGCTCCTCTCTGACTTCCCACGCCAAAGGAAAACCAGACACATGCACATGGCATGACCTTAGATTTGGTCAATATGGCCTAAGCTCCCAGGGACGATCCTAAATGATCCTGATGGTACCAGTGCTGGTGGTCCCGAACCATGAGCAAACCTGGCAGGATTTCCTGGCAGTCAGTAAGAGCATTTTTAGCCAAGCATCTCACTGGTTACCTGGTCATGTGTGTGAGGGAGAAGATCTGTTTACACTGGAATCAGAAACAACATTTATGTCTGTTTGTCTTTAGTGTCCTCTGACATTTTCCATAGCAAGAATATTGCACATACCATTTCTGTTTATCCAATCCCTGTTTACAGAACACCCCAGAGCTGCCTTTACTTTCTGAGGAATTTTTCTCTCTGGATACTGTTCAGGTTGGCTCCAATGGTTTCACCAATGGCAGTACCAGTGGAGCCAACATTTCAAAATTTAAGAAGAGCTGCTGAAGCTCCTGGCCACCTCTCCCCATCCACAATATAGGAAGCTCAGGGAGATGATGCTCCTGAGGCCTGGCTCCAGGGATAGTATCACACCAGCTCATGTAGCTTTCTTAGTGCTCCCTTCTGCTTCTTGTGCTTGAATGAATGTTAGGTGGAAAAAATAATAGAAGAATAAATTAAGGTAGGTAGGGTGAAAAAGAGGGTAGCTGCTGAATAGTAGACCCAGGGGTCATGTTGCAGACAGATACTGAGCTTTGTCCTGAAAGATGTACTTGTGCTTGCACAGAACTCCACGTCACAAAATTCCCTGCAAATGAACAAAATTATGTGCTCAACAGAAGCTCAGGCAGGGAATCCTGATGGCCAGACAGGCCCTTGCTGAGGGACTGTGAAGTGCTCCCATCAGATCTGCACAGCTTCTGCCCATCTTCAAGATTTTCAGTTCCCCTGGGTTTCCACCAGTGTTGGCTCCATTATAGAGCAAATTTGAGGTGCAAAAGGAAAATACTGGGCATTAAATAGCCATAATGTGGACCCCAGAGGTCCTCCCCCAGAGGGCTCTTTTCACTACGAAGCAGTCCCTGCCTGTTTCTGGGTCCACCACACATCACCACGAGTCAGAATCAGACACTGCAGCCCAGGTCTCACCTGCTCATTAACACCCTGAGAATTTAACAGAAAAACTTTTTTTCAGACTTTTGTGTCTTTCTTAAAGCAACTAAAACCACCAAAATGTACAAGGTATCTGTGCAAGACTGTTCTTTGAGGGAGGGAAATTGGATTTCTGAAGCAGCAGAAATAGCTGCAGCTTTGCTATCACTGCAGGCCCTGTACTCTGCTGAAAAATCAGAGCAAAGCCAGTTGTCTGCAGGCTGCTGTGGTAAAATCTAGAAACACAGATTTTGTAATGAACTATTACAATGATTTTGATTTTTGCTTGCTTTACCAATTTTCTGTAAAATAGATTAGCCCTTTGAAAAGGCTGTGCAGGTTCTGATAAAAAAAAATAAATCTGAATTTTGCTTTTCTATTTGTGCATAGGTTAAGATATTCCCTTCACTTCTTCTGTGGCCAAACCACCCTTGTATTGTTTTTAACAAAAAAACCCCAACAAAACAACAACATACCACCCCTTTGATTAATAATTTAATACACAGCCCTAATTGACTTCGGTTAGCTCTTTTATATGCAAACAAGTGTCCTGAGGCATTCTGCAGTCAAATCCATGGCAGCTTGCATTATCAACAATTTGGCAATTAGGCTATCCAAATTATTTAAACTCTCCAACACAATTACCTTTTAAAGGCTACCACTATGTTCACCATTAAGTTTCTAATTAAAACATTTTACGTAACGGGATAGTTTATAGCATGGTTGCTACTTTATAGCAGCACTGATGACTTTTATGGTTTTTAAAGGTACAGAGTGCTGTGTGCTAGAGTGGGAACTTCATCAGGCTGCAGGGGAGGGCAGAGCTGCCACTGGGTGGGTGGGATGGGATGTGATGCTGCATTAAATGGTCTGTTTGTCCCTCGAGGTGGAAAAGTGGGGAGGAAAGTCTTTCCTTCTGCACTGGCTCCCTGTGCAGCACTTGGGCAGAGAGCCCAGGGCAGCAGCTCCATCACTGCCCTCCCACATCAGGCAGGGGTAGCTAGGGGGATTTGGGAATTTGCTGCCCCTTCACCCCCAGGACCCAGAGTGGGAACAAGCCAGTTTGAGAGGTGGAGGGTTTTTTACATCACAAAATTAGTTTTGCCTGCACATTATTGATTGAATGTCCATCAGGCTAAGGCAGAGTGTCCCTGGTTAAGGAGTTAAGTACCTCATTCTGTAAAGTGTTCCTCTTAAAAACCTTTTGGTTTTGGTGTGTTTTTTTTTTATTGGCAGAAGAATGGTTTCCCTTGTTTGAAGGGCAATGTTCCTACTCTGTCACACTCTCTGTCTTATAACTAATGCCAGCCATTTACATACAATTATTTTTACTTATTAGGAGAGACTGACAAAGCTGAGTTTAGTCTTTGGAAATGGTATGACTAAAGCACTTCAACTAAATTAACTCTCCTTATAAAATTTAAGTCTGATGACTTAATGGTGAGAGCAGAATTAAAAAACATAGGCTTTAACTACAAGGGAACTTAAGCAGGAATTTAATTAGAAGAAGCGACTCAATGTTGTTGGTATTGTTTTTCCAACGAGTGAACTTCAGGTAAGAGACTTACTTCTGATTCCTACTAGATTTCTTCTAGAGCTTATGTTCATCTCCAGTGTTTTGGGGGAAAGTAGCTCCAGGAGGAGCTTGTGTATTGATGGTGGTCAGCAAGTCTGTACAGGCAAAACAAAGGCCAGCCCAGGCTGTCATGTAGAAGGGCAGGAGGCAGCAATGACAGGGAGTTACCACATCAGTAAATAGTAACTGCAATGCAAGTAAAAATTTTGTATTCTGAGGAGTCTGAGATGTTACATTGCTTTTCTTGCATAGAAACACTATGGAGCAGTTCAGGTCTCTCTCAGTCTTCAAGGACTGATGTTGCAGAAGGGGGTTTCTTGTGGAGAGAATAAGAGAATCAGGGTGGGGAGATACAAGCTGTTTTCAGATGATGTGGCCACATACCAGTTAACACCATCTGTCCCTGGACCTGACTTTTCAAGAAAAGATTTATTTTCCACTCTGCTTCTTTCTGCAAGTTGTAATCCTGTGCTTGGAAAAAAAATGAGAAAAACATACCAAGGCTGAAGTTCATAGCATACCTGCTCCACCACCAACACTTAAAATATTGATTGTAGACTTCCCATTTCCAATACTGAAAAACATGAGTTATACATTTTAGCAGAGCTGCCCTGTAGAGAGGGTGATGTGCATTGTGTGAAGCAGCAGAGATCCCATGAAGACTAAAATCCGCAGGACAAAACCAAATGCAGCATGTGCAGGTACAGACATGCCTACAAGTGGGCAGGCAGGAGCAGATTCAAAACTCTGCTCTTTGGAGATGCCCAATTTCCAGTTATTTTGGCAATCTGTAGAAGAGTTCTGCTTTAGTTACAGGTGCATACGAGCAGAAGCAGGTATGTGCCTTCCCCATGTCTGTGCTTTAAGGACCAGAGACCGCTCTGGGTCTTGACCAGCAGCTTGACAATTATTTACGGAAGTTTTGCATTTTGCAACACAAGGAGGAAGTAACACACTTTAAGTCCCTAAGCAAGGCTCTGGCAGAGCCATAAGCCCTTGGTCCCACAGAAGGTCCTCCCCAGAACCAGGCTTTCAATCCAGATGCCTGCTGCCTGAGCCAGCCTGCAAAGTGAGGGGTCCAGCAACAAACGTGCACAGAAGGCAAAGCAGGAGTGTTACTTATACGTACTAAATATTAACTAAAATTATTATTAAAATATGCTTTCAGTCAATTTAATGTTAGAATTTAATATCTGTTAATTGCATTTTAGCACTTATTCAGGGTAAGCTGTACTTCATAGAACCACAGAATGGTTCGGGTTTGAAGGAACATTAAAGATCATCCCCCCTGCACAGGCAGGGGCACCTCCCACTACACCAGGTTGCTCCAATCCCCATCTAACCTGGCCTTGAACACTTCCACAATGGGACATCCACAGCTTCTCTGGGCAACCTGTGCCAGAGTCTCACCACCCTCACAGTGAAGAATTCCTTCCTAATGCTGACCTAAATCTCTATCCTCTTCTAGTTTAAAACCATTCCCCTTGTACTATTACTACATGCCCTTAAAAAATGTCCCTCTTCAGCTTTCCTGTAGGCCCTTCAGATACTGGAAGGTGCTCCAAGGTCTCCGCAGAGCCTCCTCCAGACTGAACTTTCTCAGCCTGTCTGCAGATTTGCATGCAAGGAAACAATTCAGCCTTATCTCTTCCCTGCTTGGCAGGCTCCGTCCTGACGTGTGGGAATGAAATCTGCAGCCAAGCCCTATCAGAGACTTCCAGGCAGGGAACAGCAATCTGCCTCCCACAGGCAGCCCCCCGAGCCCGTCACGGCAGCAGGACTGTGCCACCAGGCTGTCCCCCAGCTCAGTGTGGTCACCTCCATGTTACCTTGCTACCACAGCCGGCAGCTGCCTCTCCACCAGCTCCTGCATGCACTGGTGCTCAGTTGAATTCTCCAGGAAGAGGCGGAAACACTGGAGGTATCTGGCAGGGTCAGTGACCAAGCTCCTCATGGGCAATGCCATGTTGGTGGTCAGAAAGGGTGCAGGAGGGGACAGGTTACTTCTTGCAGCTCTTCTTCCTAGCAAAGGAATAACAAACGTCAGTGAGGTAAAACCAGCAGGCACCTTTGCCCATGACCTCAGCTCTGCTACTTTGTTGGAGAGCACTTCAAAAAGTATTATGCAATTTTGTGACGGAAGCTGTGACTCAGGTTCAAGCATCAAAGGTTAATATTTACCTTTAACCTGTGCAGAGGAAGCACCAGCATTTTTTAACTGTGCTGACACAGGACTCTGTTAAAACCCCGGGAAACAGGTCTGTTCTTAAATAAAAGAAAAATGTGCCTATTTCTTGAAGGCATGGAAAGGGTCCGAAGGCTTGGTCTAGATTAGAAGAAAGTGCAACACACATTTCCAAAGATGGTGGCAGATGTCTCTGTTTTTTTAAGCTTTTGATGTTCTTAAAGGGAATGCAGATGGGGGGGTTGAAAACAATAAAAACCTTATAATGCACTCTTTATTTTCTAGTTCCTCTGAAGTTAATGGTATGATTCCCATGGGCTAAGCAGTTAATTCAGGAAAGCCACGTGAACTACTGGAATGGATGTTGTGCTAAACCCAGCTTACATGGAGTCAGGGAGGCAGTGTGTGCTACTGGGAAATGTTGAGCTGTGTTGCACAAAGACATATTCATCCCCTCTTAAATTGCAGTTTAAGCCCAGCGTGTCTTGTCTTGACTGGCAAGGAGAAAAAGGTCCATTTCCTTCCTGTGGGCCCCAGGCCAAAGGACCACACTGCATCTCCTGCCATTAGACTCCCACTACACCAGGTTGCTCCAATCCCCATCTAACCTGGCCTTGAACACTTCCACAATGGGACATCCACAGCTTCTCTGGGCAACCTGTGCCAGAGTCTCACCACCCTCACAGTGAAGAATTCCTTCCTAATGCTGACCTAAATCTCTATCCTCTTCTAGTTTAAAACCATTCCCCTTGTACTATTACTACATGCCCTTAAAAAATGTCCCTCTTCAGCTTTCCTGTAGGCCCTTCAGATACTGGAAGGTGCTCCAAGGTCTCCGCAGAGCCTCCTCCAGACTGAACTTTCTCAGCCTGTCTGCAGATTTGCATGCAAGGAAACAATTCAGCCTTATCTCTTCCCTGCTTGGCAGGCTCCGTCCTGACGTGTGGGAATGAAATCTGCAGCCAAGCCCTATCAGAGACTTCCAGGCAGGGAACAGCAATCTGCCTCCCACAGGCAGCCCCCCGAGCCCGTCACGGCAGCAGGACTGTGCCACCAGGCTGTCCCCCAGCTCAGTGTGGTCACCTCCATGTTACCTTGCTACCACAGCCGGCAGCTGCCTCTCCACCAGCTCCTGCATGCACTGGTGCTCAGTTGAATTCTCCAGGAAGAGGCGGAAACACTGGAGGTATCTGGCAGGGTCAGTGACCAAGCTCCTCATGGGCAATGCCATGTTGGTGGTCAGAAAGGGTGCAGGAGGGGACAGGTTACTTCTTGCAGCTCTTCTTCCTAGCAAAGGAATAACAAACGTCAGTGAGGTAAAACCAGCAGGCACCTTTGCCCATGACCTCAGCTCTGCTACTTTGTTGGAGAGCACTTCAAAAAGTATTATGCAATTTTGTGACGGAAGCTGTGACTCAGGTTCAAGCATCAAAGGTTAATATTTACCTTTAACCTGTGCAGAGGAAGCACCAGCATTTTTTAACTGTGCTGACACAGGACTCTGTTAAAACCCCGGGAAACAGGTCTGTTCTTAAATAAAAGAAAAATGTGCCTATTTCTTGAAGGCATGGAAAGGGTCCGAAGGCTTGGTCTAGATTAGAAGAAAGTGCAACACACATTTCCAAAGATGGTGGCAGATGTCTCTGTTTTTTTAAGCTTTTGATGTTCTTAAAGGGAATGCAGATGGGGGGGTTGAAAACAATAAAAACCTTATAATGCACTCTTTATTTTCTAGTTCCTCTGAAGTTAATGGTATGATTCCCATGGGCTAAGCAGTTAATTCAGGAAAGCCACGTGAGCTACTGGAATGGATGTTGTGCTAAACCCAGCTTACATGGAGTCAGGGAGGCAGTGTGTGCTACTGGGAAATGTTGAGCTGTGTTGCACAAAGACATATTCATCCCCTCTTAAATTGCAGTTTAAGCCCAGCGTGTCTTGTCTTGACTGGCAAGGAGAAAAAGGTCCATTTCCTTCCTGTGGGCCCCAGGCCAAAGGACCACACTGCATCTCCTGCCATTAGATTTGACTTGCCTACAGAGGTTCTATCCCAGCCACGTCTGGTTATTTTTATTGCTCCCTTTGAACTGTCTCCAGCTAAGCCCTGTTGTCGAAGTGCAGCAGCCAGGAGCCAAAGCCTCTCATTCCTGAGCTCTCCCAGAAGAGCCAGGGCAGCATCCCAAGCCCCACTGAGCCCCCGCACCACTTGCCTTCACTTCCCAGCATGACCACTGAAATACAAACCCTGAGCTTTTTCCAGACTACTTTTCTTGTCCCTTTGAATTTTAACTTTGTCCTCTGTTGTGCTCACAGCCCCTCCCAGCTGTGCAGAGTTAAACAAGTCTCATTCCTCCCCAAAAACATGCACAGAAACACAAAAGAGCAGCAGGCTCAGGTTCACACTCAACATTACCTCCTTTTCCAGTGGTGAACTGCTGGTAACTTTTCTGACTAACTGCAACCAGTTTTCCACCTGCCCAAAAGCTGTCTGCTCAAGGTCACGTCTTCCTCACTTGCTTGTAAGAATGTCACACAAGATAGTGCCAGCCCTAAAGCCACTGTACAGGAATGGCTCCTTCTCCTGTGTATAACAGAACAGTTACACCACCGGCAGAAAATGGGCTTAGCAAAGTATCGCCCTAACATTTCCATGTTGCCTGGCCACCTCCTGATTCTATTTCTGGTGCTCACTCCTTTCAAAGGGTGATTTCTAGGGACAGCTGTTGTGCTGAGCAGCTGCAGTTCCCCAGCTCCTCCTCCTGGCCCCTTTTCAATGGTGTAATGAGCTGCTTGGCTTTGCTCACCCTCCTTGCTGCTCATGCCAAAGATAGCATCCAACTCACTATGTATTTTGGTTTTGCATCCCATGAGTTGCATCTCTGCACTTCCGGAATGTTCCCAAAGGATTACATGTAGCAAAGGCTTGTGGTGATGCACCTCCTCCAGTGCCTGCTGCTACCTGAGGAGCTGTGAGGTCAATTAGCAATGCTTGTTAATTGCTGCCCTCGAGGCAGTTCCAGAGACCAGCAGCAACATCCAGAGCAGGACCCAAGGTGTGATTTACCTCCCATACCACTGCCAAGGCAGAGGCAGCTGTTGGCACATTTCCTCTGCCCACCCTTTCAAGGGTGCTTGCAAGGGAAAACCAGCAGAACTGAGTATGTTAACAATGATGAAAAGGACCTTGAAACAAGCAGATGGGAGAGCTCTGGGAAGTTTGCTGGGTGCTGGATGCTACGAGGACCAGCTTGGAGCAGCCCACTCCCCAGCCACTGAGCTCACTCCCCTTCAGGGAGCCTGGTGGTGTCAGATAAGAGAGACAATCTGGCTTGTGCATTAAACAGACAAACTGCAGCTGAATTGGCCATAATGGGTGAGGAGCACAGCTCAGGCTCACAGGGTGGTATCTGCCCCCCATGTACACAGAGCTGCTCAGGTCACCTGTCCAGACATGAGCCTTGGATTAACATCCCCTCCTTTTCCCAGATGACCAGCACTCAACCCCCCAGCAAAATCTGAATTAACCTGGGGAAATCAAGTATAAATTTTGCCAGAGAGGGTAAGGAAGCAAACTCCCACATGTGCATTGGGGAAGAATTACTGCTAAGCCACCCTGAAAATACAGTGGTGTGTTCCTTGTTGACCCATTCCTCTGCTCTGCCCAACTCCTCACTTTTTACTCTAAGTGCATAAAGAGGCTTTGCCATTTACCACTAACAAACTTTCAATCTTGGAAAAATACTTTGCAGTTAATAAGAGGAAATTCAAATAATGGACCTTTTTTCTTTGCCTTCCTATACTTTCCAGTATTTAATTTGCCCACAGTCCCTGCTCAGCTGTCTCTAATGAGCAGCTGAGATTCATTTTCCTGTTAGGTGCAGTTCAAGGAATTTGTCTCATTTATTTCATTACGCTTTTGGCTGTTTGAATTTGCCCCATTTATTCCATTATGTGTTTTGCTGTTTGAGCTGCAGCCAGTTAACTTTAAAAATGAGTTAAGAAAAGGAAGAAAATATGGGGTTTTTTCAGAACCAGGCTGATAGAAACTTCTGGGTAGGAATGTTCCCTTGTGTATTTTCCCTTCAGTGATAATCCAAATTTATACGTAGCTCCCTAAAAAGTTTTAGGAGGTTCAAAACTGGACTCTGTTTACGCTGCAGTTGCTTGATCCACCCCTGGTTTGCACCAGCATGAACAGAATTAAACCAGCTTTAAATTTGCCATAAAACTCTTCAAACCTTCCCTGCAAAGCCAGAAAGCAAAGCGAGAATGTCCTCAGCTGTAAACTATTTGCAATTGGAGCTTGAGCTCATTAGCACTCGCTCAGGGTTTATTGCTCCCCGCCAGCAGAACAGGGGTCCCACCTGGAGGAGCTGAGTGCTGTCTGTCCCGCTCCCACTGCTGTACTTACGCGCCAGGCTCTGGGTTTCTGGGGGCTCCCACGGCAGGTGTTGCTGTAGGGGTTCAGGACGGGCTGGGGACACCCCCCCAGGCAGCCTCCAATCCAGCAGCTGCTGCTGTCCCAGCCCCGCGGACGTGACGTGGAGCACAGAGGAGGGTTTGCCGGCGATATCATAACCTTGTGTGGCAGCAGCCGGCTCCAGGGGCTGAGGGGACCAGTTAAAC